GCTTACAACAACACTCTCTGGCATGATCTCAGGAAGGAAGGAAGGAAGGAAGGAAGGAAGGAAGGAAGGAAGGAGGGAAGGAAGGAGGAAAGGAAGGAAGGAGGGAAGGAAGGAAGGAGGGTACCTTCATCAGGTAAGCAAACAGCTCCTCATCAGTGATCGCGTGTTCAGGCGAAGGCACTCCCACCCTGTTGACCACCGTGTAAACAGCTTCCTCGTAAAGCAGGTCCAGCTACACGAAAACACAATCCACTTAATAAGAACCTTTCAAAAATAAATAAATAAAAGATTCTTTGCCTTCATGCTTTCTGCTCCGTTGCACATCAGAGGCAGGGAGCGCACAGTTAATGTGACTTTTAAGATGTAATTCCTGCTGAAAGAGGATGAAAACAGAGCTGACGCACCTCCGTTCGTCTGATTCTGTCGGGGATAAAGGCCTGGTCCACATGCTCCTGGGGGGGGGGCACGGTGCAGGCCCCTTTCTGACCCTGAGGGGTGAGAAGCAGTTCAGCCAAAACAAAACCAGACTCTCATAAGGCTGTGTCGATCACAGACAGAGGAGGAGCTAAGGTCACTGTTTGGTATTTCTGACTCTCAATTATCTGGCGGAAGTATGGTGTTTTGTTTAAATGGCACAAAACCCCGGATTTCTACTTTTTAGATATCTTTTTGGCTTCAGATAATAGCATAATAGCAAACCAAATACCAAAGGGGAGGACCTCACCTTTAACATGTGAGAAACTGGGCTGGACTATGTTTTGACATTTATGGGTTTATGTTTAATTAAAACTCAGAAAATAATCAGCAGATTTCTTAGATAATGAAAAATAGTGGCTGCCAAATACGAAAGAAAACATTTTGTTTACCTATATTTTTTACATTATTTCCTAATCTCTGCTTTTTGTGAAAGATTTTTTTTTAAATGATTGTAGTTTAAATTAGAATTTGATTAGACCTATCGGAGATGCAAGGGTCACACATTGTCTTGCCAAACAGGAACCAACCACTGGTGTCAAGCTTTGGCAATGTATTCATATGTATCATTATATAAACTTTTTTATATGACTTTAAATAAAACATTAATCCGAAAAGCAGATTGTAACTAAACCTGTCAAATAAAAATATAGCACAATAAAATAAGAAGTCGATCTTTCCAGCACTACTGCCTTCATTGTCACTTTATTGATTGCACCAACCAACACAGAAGACTCATTCTAAATGGAGACCAAAATCAAAGTCCTCTTAGGATTGTTTTATGTTTTTCAAAAGTCTGGATATTCCTTATGTTTTTAATGATGACTTTTCCTGATTCGCCTGTTTTCTTTACTCTTCTGTCTTACAGCAATTTGCAAATGAAGACATCAATAGCTCTCATAAAGATGTTAGCACAGCATCATGGCCATTGGCAGCAGGAGTAGCAGAACATGGCGGCGGACAGCAGCTCGTCACAGCTGAGCTGCACTCTTCTGAGCACTAACTCAACCCCGGCCCTTCTGTCTGCACACTTCACGGGGCCTCCGCGCTACACAAACCTGTTTCAAGTGTGTAACAGATGGAAAGGTGGAAGTTAGGCGGAGGTTACCTCAGCCTGGGCGGCCCGCAGCATGTTCTCCTGCTTCTGAAGGATGGCATTCACACGCTCAAAGAACTCCACGCTCTCCTCGGAAATCCTGCCAAGAAGAGACGGCAGATTGACAAATCAACGCCCAAGATGGAAGATGAAATACTTGGGAAAAAAATTTTAATTTATGAGAAAAAATGTGATGACATGTTGTGAGTCTAATATAATATTTCTGGATTGTAAATAAACAAATGGGATTCAGTGACATTGGTGAGATCGCACCGCATCCTGTTTACAGACACTTTGGAGAAGCGTCTGTCAATAAAGACTTTTATGTTTAACGACTCATTCGCCTGCATTTCAGCTCCTCATTACATATCCAACACCTTCTTATCTCATGCAGTATAAAGCAAAGCAGGTCTGGACCAAAGCTCTCAGCACTTCGACATGTCTGCACTCTGCGTGAACAATGTTAATCTTCTGTGATGAGCAGGGTGGTGTGCAAAAATGCAAATGATGTTGTCCATTTCCTCAAGGTGCGAGTGAATCCCGGTCTCCCGCTGGCCCCAGTTGTCATGGAGATGCGGGCACTCTCAGGGAGGGAAGAGCTGGCTGAACACCTTGGGAATCTCCCCCCGTTATTACCTTCACCCCCATGTCTCACCCCTCCCACATTTCACAGCGGCCACTGGAGACAGTGGGATGATGGGAGCTGCAGCAGACGGGGGTTCAGCCGTCCACCCCCACAGCTCCCACACCTCCCAGCATCCTTCCTTGTCTCTCATGCAACACGTCATCCATGCTCCTTTATTAGCATCATCACATCCCAGCAGGCGTGTGGCAGCCCATCCCAGCACACACTGACTCTTGCCGTGGTGGGGGAGCGGAAGGCAAACCCCTGAGGTATTGATGAGGGCTAATGGCAGTCACGCTGAGAGTTGTTCAGGTTTCCACTGGCAGCAATCCCAGGAAAACTTGAAAGCGGCTGAAACCCTTAATCAAAGCAAGGCTCACTATAAAATACAGTATATGTTTCATAAAAACTAGACGGTTTCTTTGTAGGAGGGCTGCAACTACCAATTATGTTGATTAACCTTGTATGTGACTTTTCATTTTGATTAATAATTTGGTTCATAAAATAGCAAACGATACAAAAATACATTTATAAATTAGCAGAGACCAAGTCGATATCATTTGTTTTGTCAGAGCAACAGACCAAAAGGTAAAGGGGCCCTGTTCTGCTCATTTTCAGCTTCATATTTGTATTTTATGTCTCTACTGGGACATGTCTCCATGCTTTAATGTTCAAAAAGCTCTTTATTTTTCTCATACTGCCTGTGCTGCAGCACCTCTTTTCACCCTCTGTCTGAAACCAGAGCCCAGTCTGCTCTGATTGGTTAGCTGGCAGGCTCTGATGTGATTGGTCAAACGCTTAGAGATGTCTCTCCCCTCAGCCTATTACATAGCTGTGTCCCAATTCAGAGGAGGACCCAGCCTCGCGGTCCGCGGAGGACCCAGCTTGGGTCCTCCGAGACGGTCTACGGAGCATGTCCTTGTACGTCACCGGCAGTTACCCCTACATTTTGCCGCCCCCGTCACCTAGCAACCAGCTGCAGTCACAAGTGCTGGTAATAATTTCTGACACTAGGCAAAACATTTTCAAACTGTTTTCAAACTGTTTTCAAAACTGTTCAATATGGAGTCAGATCTAGCTGTACTTATTTTGGTGTTATATAATATGTTCAAATTATTTTCCCGAGGTCCCAACAGGCCCCCGTGAAGAGGGCTTCATTCTCCCCGCGCATCTGGATAAATTGCGCAGTCTGCTCCTTGCTCCCTATCAAAACAAAATTGTTGCAGTAAGATTTGTATAACAAAAGCAGTTAAATAAATAAATTAGCTTTATAATGAATCCCAACAATATGAAAACCAAACAGGGTTTAGAAATATTTTCACTTCATATTATTTTATGTATGTAATATAAAGAAGACATCTCCAATTGCCCGAATCCAGCTGAAATCGTTGTAGCCGTTGATGGGACGTTACAAGCCATAATTTTTTTGTAAACTCATGTCGTCACCGTCACCACCCGTTGCATCCTGGGATATTTGGTGACAGCCGCGAGTGTACATCAGATGACTCGATCCGCTGAATCTGCGGAAAGAAGGCTGCATTGTGGGCCGCATTCCGGAGGAGTCTTGTCTTTTTTTGAATTGGGACAGGCCTCGTTTGGCGGAAGTGACAGTATGCGGTCTCCGAATGCATCCTCAGGAGATGCGGCCCGCTGAAAACAAACACATGGA